TATGGTTTTTATGTTCAGGACACTTCAGAAGGTAATATGATTTTGGTATATTTGCATGTTAATGACACATTGCTAATAGGAAGTTCTGAACAAGAGATAGCTAAGTTCAGGAAGGTTATGATGAATAAGTTTGAGATGACAGATCTTGGGAAAATGGGTTACTTTCTAGGGATGGAGTTTATGTACTCTGAGAATGGAATCATTTTTCATCAGATGAAGTATGAACTTGAGCTTTTGAAAAGATTTAAGCTGGATAATTTCGAAGTTGTTATCACACCTACTGATACGAATCAGAAGTTGGACTCTGATTCTGATGGAGAGGATGTGGATGATACAACCTTCAAATAGTTGGTTGGTTCTCTGTGGTATTTGTGTAATACCAAACCTGATATTTGCTATGCAGTTGGAATGGTTAGAAAATTTATGAGTAAACCAAATTGGTCCCATTACCAAGTTGTTGTCAGGATTCAGAGGTATGTGAAGGAAACTCTGAAGTATGGAGTATTATTTCCTTCTGGAAGAAAGGCTGAATCAGAACTTCTGAGTTATTCCGACTCTGATTGGTGTGGAGACGGAGTTGACAGAAGAAGTACTTATGGGTACTTATTCAAATTTCTGGGAGTTCCTATTTCTTGGTGTTCCAAGAAGCAACATGTTTTTGCACTGTCAACCTGTGAAGCTGAATATATTGCAGGCGCTCTGACTGCATACCAAGTTGTATGGATTCTGAACTTGCTGCAAGATCTGAAGATTAAGGCAAACAAACCTCTGAAGCTGATGATTAATAACAAGTCTGCAATCAATATTTCCAAGAACTCAATGCTGCATGGGAGAAGCAAGCATATTGAGACCAAGTATCATTTTCTGAGGAATCAGGTTCAGAGTGGAATATTAGAAGTTCTGCACTGTAGCACCTAGAAACAGCTGGCGGATGTTTTAACAAAGGCTATCAAGACTGATCAATTTCTTTGTTTGAGGGATGAAATTGGTGTTTTCAGTTTTGTGTAAATATAAATTAAGGGATGGTGTTGGAAATAATTTATATTTTAGGAATATCTTATTGACTAAGTTTGTTAGGGGGTATTTTAGTATTTTATTATACCTTAATTTTGTGTATAAATAGCTTAGTAATAGGTCAATGTAATTAATTCATTACTCCTTATTTTATAGCCATCATTCAATATATTCTTTTTGTCTTTCATCTGTCTTTTGTGCACCAAGAGTATCTACAAATCTTTAAATCTAGTATAACTGTAAAATATATGACGAGAGTTAAATAAATAAATAAATATGAAATATTAAGCTTATTTATTATTAATAAGTGTTGGATTTCAAGTGTGAAAGTGATAAAGTCTCACATCGATTATGAATGAAGGAAATGTTGGATTTATAAGTGACTTGACTCATATCCCCATGATCTTAGGTTTTTGGATAGATATGTGATGTCAAGGTCTCTTGGATCTTAACGATTGACCCATTAACACTTCCAAGTCTCGCTCCTCGGATTCTCTTACAAGACAATTCCCCCCACACTTACGTTTCTGATGACGTAATGAATCATATCTTGGACCTCACGACTCTGAAGGATATTTGGGATAAATTGGAAATCAGTACATGTCCTAGACGTTTATGAACAAATTGTTCGCGAAGCAACCATTATTTTGATGTGAATGTTGATAATGTGGATAAAGCCATTATTTTGTTGTACTTTTTACCAAATTCTGGTGATCACTCTCACATACTGGAAAGAAACAATCATGTTGGATTCTATTTTTTACCCTTTTGCAAAACCCACAACTTCGTCAAAGTGTAGAGGAAGGTGGAGGAAGTTCTTTGGCCCGTTAACACTTCCAAACCTCTCTCCCCATAATTCCCAATAAGTTGTATATCAAAGCTCTAGTTAGATCGGTAGAAGAGCGAAAGTGGATCCTAGTGTGGATCAAGGCTAGTGACGTGGGTGACTCACACTTGTGGGGGAGATTATTGGGTTTCAAGTGTGAAAGTGATAAAGTCCCACATCGATTAAGAATAGAGGAAATATTGGGTTTATAAGAGAGGTGACTCATACCTCTACTGTCTTAAGATTTTGGATGGATATATGGTGTCAAGGTCTCTTGGATCCTAACTTTTTGCCCATTAATACTTCTAAGCCTCGCTCCCAGGACTCTCCAACAATAAGTATATTTGAGTATCAAGTAATATAGTATTGAATTGTGTAAGGGTGATACAAACTATGTCTTATGTTTAATATAGATGTAAAGAAAAAAGAGTAATTATACACGCGATACTTATCACAAAAAAGTTATGTCATGTCACATTGACATTCCCTTCATATAGATAGTAGTAGTGATGTATTCTTAGACATAACTTCTTGTTAATAATATTAAATATGTGATTTAATATTATTGTAAATGTTATGAGAGCTACATGACCATGCACGCAAGAATATATAAATGAGAGGTTAAATAGATAAATAAGATTTATTTATGATTTGGTGGTACATTCTTACATTGCACTAGCGCAAATTTAAGAAAATGAAATATCTTAAACTATGATGTGTAGAAGTGATTAATAAATAGAAACCCTATGTGAGATATTAGTCACTCAATCACATATTTTTAAAGTCCTAGCCGAACTAGGATTCTGAGTATGTGTTATGTTTAATACTTTTGTTTGCTCAAACCAATCATTATAGGGGAGACTCCCTCGTTACATATTCTCTTAGTGTGGATTGAGTGCAAGCACTATTATTCGTGTTGCATTCATGTTCCACTTATTTCAATGACTAAATATTATCTTCTACAAGTAATTAATCAATTAATCTCTTACTTATGATCAATTATAAAGCTCCTTAAAGAAAATTCTATAATCTTATCGTTGCATTTAATTGGATTATGTACTACTATGCTTCAAATAATTTATTATTGATAAGGACTAAATTGTCTTTTAATTATTATAGAAGATCTAATTGTTCTTTTTATGAATATGGTTTATGTTTGAAATAAGTTGTCTCGATTCAATTTTTTTCAAATTAGATCAAATCATTATTGGAGATCTAATTGTTACTTTTAATTTTTTTTATAAATAAAACTAGATTTCATTGTTAAATTTTTAAACTAAAATGAATATTTAATCTAACATAATAAATAATAATTCAACTATTTGATTAAATAGTACCTTAGTTCATTTATGATAGCTAATATATGTTTTATATCTAAAAGTGACTCCAAAAACATAAAGGAAGCTCTCAAGAATGAAAATTGGATAAATGTCATGCAAGAATAACTTGACCAATTTAAAAGGAATAAAGTTTGAGAGTTGGGTTCTAGACTCAACTTTGCCAATATTATTGGTACCAAGTGGATCTATAAAAGCCAGTCTGGTGAGAATGGAAATGTCACAAGAAACAAGAATCGTTTATTGGCTCAAGGGTAAACCCAAATAGAGGGTGTTAATTTTGATTAAAATTGTGCCATGTCACTTGATTATAAGTTATAAGGTTGTTAATTGGGATATACTGTATTTAAAAGTTCAAAATGTATCAAATGGATGTGAAAAGTGTCTTCTTGAATGAATATTTGAATCAAGAAGTTTATGATGAACAATTCAAAGAATTCATTCTTCGGTCTTCTCCAAATCATGTCTACAAGCTTAAGAAAGCACTATATGGCTTTAAACGTGCTCTTAGAGCTTGGTATGAAAGACTCGCAGAGTTTCTCACTAGTAATGGCTATGTAAGAGGAGGAATTTACAAAACTCGATTCATCAAGAAAGAAGAAGGAAAGCTCGTGATAACCCAGATCTATGTGGATGGCATTGTTTTTAGAGGGGTGTCAAGCATGATGGTAGAACATTTTGTTTAACAAATGAAATTTGAATTCAAAATGAGTTTGGTTGGTGAACTTACATACTTTCTTGGTTTTCAAGTTAAACAAATGAAAGATGACATCTTTGTTTCCCAAAGGAAGTATGCTAAGAATATTTTAAATAATTTTGGTCTTGAGAATGATAGCCACAAATGCACCTCGGTTTCCATTCATGTTGAACTCACTAAAGATAATCAAGGATTGACTATTGATCAAAGTCTCTACAAAAATATGATTTGGTAGAATACTATATCTTAGTGGTAGCCAACCTAACATCACATTCTCTATTGGTGTATGTGCTTATCATCAAACCAATCCTACAATGATTCATCTCACATAAGTCAAAAGAATTATCAAATACATAATTAGAACTTTGACTATGGACTCTTTTACTCATATGATATTGATTCCTTTCTTGCTGGGTATTGTGATACTGGTTAGGCAGGAAATGTTGAACATAAAAAAGTACCTCAGATGGATGTTTCTTCTTGGGGAACAATCTTATTTCATGGTTCAACAAAAAACAAAATTGTGTTTCCCTATCCACAGTAGAAGATGAATATATTTCTATTGGAAACATTTGTACTCAATTTTTATGGATGAAGCAGATGCTGAAAGAGTACAATGTCACACAAGATGTTATGATATTATATTGTGACAATATGAGTTCTATTAACATATTTAAGAATCTAGTACAATATAGTCGTACCAAGCACATTGATATAAGACATCATTTTATTATGGAACTAGTGAAAGATAAAGTCATTTCTTTTGATCATGTGCCTACTGAAAAACAATTTACAGATATGTTTACTAAAGCCTTGGATGCCACTCAACTTTAAAATACTATAAATGCATTAGGGTTGTGTGTGATGGATATCTTATAGCAGTTAATGATGAGGTGGTTGAAGAATAAATGGGACAAATTCTTGTCCGTTCAGTCCATTGTTTCTAAGGATAGTGTAAGGAATCTTGTCATGACCAATAGAAGATCTAATCTAGTTCATATTTAAAATATCACATTTCTTATTTAAGTTTTTATTTAGTGCTTCTCTTCTCTCTCTCACCATTTATCTTCTTAGACTCAATGATCTCTCTCTAACCATTCATATTCAACCCCACTTTTATGCAAGCATGGTCGGTACTCGCCAAGGAACAAATACTTCTGGAAAGGATAATAAAAATGTGAAGAAGGTAAACAGGGTATAAAGGAGATAATGAATATGTCAGTGTTCATGGTTTTAGTATGAAATGTGTTACAATTGGAGGAACAATTAATGAACAAGTCGGAGTTCATTCCTTCATCGAACGTCTAAAGGTATTTAAGAAGAAGAAAATAAACACACTTATTGATTGTTTCCCTCTCATAATGGTTGACCTATCATGGAAAGGATAAAAAATTATTATCATGGTGAAGGAACCCAAAAGCACCAAATAATCCTCTAACCTCCAAGAAAAGGATTCAATCCAACCGTCAGATGATGTTTTAGACATTGTTATAATTAAAGTGGTATTCTGTGACAAAGAGAAAGGTAAGTCTTCCAAATCCCCAGACTCCCCTGAATCTATTGTACCCTTAAATGTTTCTATCCCTAAGTAAGTCCCTGTAGTCGCTAAACCTATGACTGAAACTAAGGATGTTATGGATAATGAATAATAAAATATTGTTCAAAATATTGAGTCCTTTAATGCATGTGATAATCCACCAAGTGAAAACAACATTAACAAGTTCCCAAGTGAAGGAACAATTCCTAAAAACCCTATAAATGATCCCTCTGTTGATGTTAATCGAAGTTCCATTTGTAAGGATGTTTTTTGTGATGTGAAAAACATCATGATTGAAATTGTGATAAAAAAAGAGGAGTCCAGTGAGGAGGAAATTGGAGCCACTCAAGATGATGGCAATAATGTTAGTAAGGAAGTTAGCGATAATGCAGATGACCTTTCACAGACTGAAGAAAATGTTTCTAAGGACAATGTTGATGAGTATGATGAAAATTATTCTCAATAAAGTGATGAGGATGATGGGGAAAGCAATGAAGGTGTCGAAGAAGATAACCAAGTGTTTGCTGAAACTGAAGGATGCAAAGAAGAAGCAAGTAAAAATGTCAGGATAAATAGCATTGACAATGTAGGTGTCACTATGGAAGTTAATATAACTACTATTAAGGATGTTACTACAAATGTCAACAATAATATGGAAAAGATGTTGAAAGTTAAGGTTTCTGATGTTGATAAAAAATAAGAGGGATGTAGAGAAAGATGTCTCTAACATCCATGAATGTCTTGAAAAATATGAAGAATATGTGTCAGATAAAGATCAGAATGATGACATACCGAATGTCAATGACAATGTCACTAACAATTTTAAAGATATAGTTGATGTTATTGCAGAAGCTAAAACCTCAAAAAAGACTTCAAAAAGGTGCAAGAGATATGCTGAAAATAAAAATTCTTTGTTTAAGCCCAATAAAAATACCACCAAGAAGTCTGCTACTCAAAGTAAAAGGAAAATAATTTCAAATAAAAAGAAAGATGTATTGAAGAAAAATAAATCTACTAAGAAGGTAAAGAAAAATGTTGTGAAGCCTGCCACTCAGAAAATTTTTGAAAAGGAAAAAGGTCCCTGAAAGAGAAGTTTAAGAGAGTGCCACTGACAATCCTGATGACATGTTGGTTCTTTTCACTAAAAAGAGAAAGAAAGTTGTTGGAGAAAATAAGTTTCCAGATAATATGTCTGTGGTGCCCTTAGACAATATCTCTTTCCACTTAGAGGGTAGAATCTTAAAGGGGAAGTATGTCTTCCTCAGGCGCATTGCACCTGAAAGAGAGTTGTCCAAAGAAGCCTAAAAATGTTAAGAAGATGACGCACATGTCAAGAAGCTTGTGGTCGATAATAGTTCATTTTACCCTAGGCTTTTGAAGGAATTCATCAACCTTCCAAAAGGTTTCAATAATACATGAAGTGATGAGTTTATGAAAGCACATATGCATGGACATTACTTCAGATTTAATCTAGCTATCATAAATCACTACCTGGGAAGAGGAAAACTTGTCACTGGTGATTGTGTCCCCTCGTTGAAGAACACAGCTTAAGAAATTACTGGTATTATCCATGAATCATGACCATTGATCGTCCAATGGTCTTCTCACTACATCCACTTTGAGTGCAAAGTATGCCATCCTATACAAGATAGGGTTGTCAAATAGGCTCCTATAAATCACAGATCAGGTGTAACTCTAAGTCTTTCTATTTTACTTTATTAAATATAAACTAGAGCAACTTCTGATTTCATAGAGTATGTGTTTAATCAAGTGTTGGAACATGCTAAGTCCTTTGCCATTAAGCTCCCCCATTGATTTTCCTTCTTTGATCTCTGGTATTATAATTCATTAAAAAAACTAAAATTGTGACTAGTGATTATGTTATTGTTGTTCCCCCGAGTTCTTTAAATTTTAGTTAAAAGATTTTTATTGGGAAACGTGTCCAAGACATTGTTATACTGCTCACATCTGATAATATTTATGAAGTCCCCTTATGTCTAAGGCTTCTATAGGCCACATTCTTAATGTTCTTATGTAGAATTAAAAATCCTTTGAAGAAATGATAGCTAAACCAACCACCAAAAAAATGTGGTTGATGGTTTCATCTAGATGATGAATTCGAAAGCTTCTATTGCATCCACATGTAATCCAGTTGGTCACAATACTGAGAAATATGTTTCAACATTAAGTTTGAATGAAGAGCAATCAAGCAATGAAGGTGAAAAATATGTGGAATATGAGACTGATTCAAGTGGTGGTATCTCTTAGTGATTCTCATATTGGCGATGAATGATTTTTTTTTCATTCTTTTTGTTCTACTAATTAAATGATCTTGTAAGCTATATGTATGGCAGGATATTGGTCCCATTCAATTTTGCCCCTATGAGGGATTTTGTTCCTGGTGCTATTATTTCCCTTGGGTGGGCTAGAAATTTGGTAATCAAATTAATTAAAAACCTATTAGCAAAATTAATTTGATTAAAATGAACTTAACCAATTAATCAACGTAATAAAAATTTATTAATAACATTAATATTTAAAACATTTTAAGTAATTAAATGGCTAAACAAAATCAATTTTCCCACATTCAAACTCGTGATCAAAATCAAGGAGCATTTTCAAAAATCATTCACATCAAAACTTTCAATAAAATAAAAATAAACTTCATCATCTTTTCCATTCAAACCATTTTCAAGTCTCATTTTCCAATCAATGCAAATGAAACCTTGGTCTAACGCCAAGTCCTTCTCAGTGAAACCAAACCATTTTCAAAAAACCAAAATACATGATCAATATCAAGTCTCTTTTACAAAGTCAAAACCAACCTAGTGTAGTTCCCAGAACTACGTATGCCTTGAGTTCTCCATTGTACCTGGAGATACATAGGAACAAGATTCAACGTCTCGTCAGGCCTCCTGTTTTTTTTTCCTCTAACACTCGTCTGTGTTGACAACCTACAATCTTTCCTTTAACACTCGTCCGCGTTGAAGTAGACACACGGCCGTGTCGCCCAAACCAAAGGTTTAGTTCACCAAGAACTACGTAAGCTATGAGTTTCCCATTGCACTCGAGAATACATAGGCAAAAGGTTCTAAAATATTGTTGATCCCATTAATAAATAAACAAAAAACATTTTCCTTTCTTTCTCTTTTTCTCGCATAATAATTAGAAGATAGCAAGTAAACATCACGCTAACATTCGATCACGAAACTAACTAAATGGATATTGTTGAGTACAACAAATGTGAAAGGTGATAATACCTTCCCCTTGCATAACCGACTTCTGAACCCTACCTTGGTTGCGATGACCATCTTATCCTTTATTTTATGGGTTTTCTCAATATTTTCCCATTCCTTTGGAACAAATAAAGTTCAGTGGCGACTATGATGTATTTCGAGTGTGCGATGCACTCAGGTATTTTTTCACTCTGCGACAACCAGTGAATCTTCTACGGATTAATGATATGATTTCAAAGGAATTATAAAGGAAATACTTGCTGTGGAATGGTAAGTTCAACGTGGACGGGTGTTGGCGATCAATACGGTCGAGTATTGGCAAGGTAATTTGATGAATAATTTGTTTGAAAAGTGGAGCTAACATAGAATTGACACGGATGATTGTCGGTAGGTAAATATTAACATTGATAAGTTGATGAATAACTTGTTTGAAAAATGGAGATAACATAAAATCAACATGGGCGAGTATTGAAAAAATAAGGTCAACACGGATGAATGTTGGAAAAATAAGATCAACATAGACGAGTGTTGAAAAAATAATGTCAACACGAGCGAGTGTTAGAAAAATAAGATCAAAACATATGAGTGTTGGAAAAATAAGATTTACACAGACGAGTGTTGAAAAAAATCAACACGGATGAGTGTTGGAAGGTAAAGATCAACACAGACGAGTGTTGGAAAGTAAAGGTCAACACAAACGAGTATCGGAAAGGTAAGTTCAACACAAACAAGTGTTGCAAATAGAAGTTAACCCAGATGAGTGTTTGAAAATGAAGTCGATACGAATGATTTTTAGAAAAAAGAGGTCAACATGGATGAGTGTTAAAAATATATTATCAATACGGACTAGTGTTGGAAAGATAAATTCAACACAGACAAGTATTAGAAAGAACTAAAGCTCAACATGGACGAGTGTTCAAAAGAACTAAAGATCAACACGGGTAAGTGTTGGAAGGAACTAAAGATCAACATGGATAAGTTTTGGAAGATAAAATTTATGAATGTAGGAAATGATGCACGATATGCGATGGTCTAGATATGCGAGTTTAGGATTTTGTTTATTGACGAGGTCATGGAAGTTGGGTTTAATTTATTTTTGTAGGGTTACCAGACGAGGTAAGATCCCTTTAGGTGTTGGATGAGGTTGTACTTTTGAAAAGTGTCAGATGAGGCTAAATTTTAAAAGTTATCGGACGAGGCTGGTCTTTTAAGGTGCCAAACGAGGCTGGATTTAGGAGATGTCGAACGAGGCTGAATTTATTTAAGGTGTCAGATGAGCCTGGTTTTTTAGGGATGTCGGACGAGGTTGTTTTTTATTTAGGTGCATGACGAGGCTGAAATAAGTGAGATGTCAGATGAGGCTGGTTTTTTATTGAGGTGTGTGACGAGGCTAGTTTTTTATTAAGGTTTCAGACGAGGCTGGATTTTGATTGACGTGTTGGACGAGGCTGGATTTTTTTCTTTCTTAGGTTTGTTTGAGCATGGTTTCCTGTTATGGGACTATGCTAGATGAATGTGCATGACATGATGCTAGAGTGAAGTGACATGATCGATGTGTGTTGATGATGCATGACATATGCATATATGATTGAGGATAATGATCTGAATGTTTGGGTAGGTGCCCCTGTGGTGGATATGTTTTTGTAAACTTTGGATTATGGTTAAGGATATTTTGGTAGGATGTTGTGCAAGCATGACCTCTCGACACCTGTTCGAACTTAGAAGTCGCATATATGTGACAAGATTTTCTTTGAGCAGCTTTGGAGACATGGAGAGAACTTGGATCTCCTGTTTTTATTCAGCCTACTGGGTTTGTAGTTATATGGTTTTAGGTTTGGCATAATTTTTCTAAAACATGGTTCTATACTGATGTTAATTAATATGTTGCAGCATTTTTATCAATTGTCATAACATGTTGGATGTTATGAGTTTTTCAACCAGATGTCAAAGCAAATGTCATGACATATTTGTCTGGTACAACAGGCGTTGCTGTTTTAAATATTGACAAATTTGATTTGATTCTGTGATATTTATTTTGGATATATCTTAGTATATTTTGCAGACCAAGAAAATTTAATCTGGAACATGTTTTATATCTCCTACTGTACTTTAGTTACTAAATTGTGCCTTGAGATAATTTAGGAAAATTTGTATTATTTGTTCCAAGATTTAAGGAGATTTTGCTGCACGCTTGGTGCATCACTCAGCTTATGGATCAAGAAACTTATAG